TTAAATCTATTGGGTTGTCAGATAACTTCGTTCGTTTTTTTTCCATTTATTTTAATCCTATTAGTAATCAACAATTTTAGCAAATCAATTAATAATGAAACGACAGACAGAAGCTGCACAGAAAGAACAGAACTACAAAAATTATAAAGAACCATAGTAAAAATATTTTGCCTGTTTATCCAAATAAAACTGGAAAAGATGAACGAATTTATTTGACAACCCAATATTACAATTGGTGATCTGGGGAAAATTTGGCTAGGAAAACTTAACCGAACATTACTAATGAAAATGATGCAGAACCAATTCTTACTGTTTCTCTCATTGTTGGAAATGGCAGTCCTCACAATTACGAACTGAAAACATAAATCTATTTAGTCATAAATTCAAGATCTCCACTTTAACCTTGAAACCAATAAATTTTATAATTGAAACAAATACAAATATATTTTATTTTATCTGGAAATTCCTCTAAGCCTCAATTTTTGCAAGATTTAATAACAAGGAAATTATCCATAGTGCGTCACGAAATCTCTAACATACATCTTCTCATGTTTGAATTCAGAGTCTTCCTTCCTATAGTCTGGTTGCCACCAATCGCAAAACAAACCAGTCCCCCCTGAAACTTAATGGAAAGGGATTCAATACCTTAGATCGTTTCTGTAAATTCACCCTAACTAATGGAATGATAGTTATCGCAAATATTAATTCACTCCAAGAAATTATAAATTTTAATTCAAAATTTGTTATTTTTTATTAAGTTTTGGCACTTTTTGAAATTATAAATTTTAAATCAAAATTTGTTTAGGTTACATCGCAACTACTCCAACCCTCAGAAAGAAAAATTACAAAAATCAGGGAGTTATTCACATTTCATAAGTACGGATGATATTCGAGGTGCTTATACGTAATCTTTTACAATTAAAAAAAAGAAAAAAAATGTTTTTGACTTCCTTATCGGAGTGAGCGCGAACGTAGACCTCCACACATAGAAATAGGAACCCTAGTGGCTGACATTTGGGGGTGTTCGAAAAGGTCATCCGAACCGGAGTGCAATGGAAATGTCTCATCCTGGGAGAATTTGATGTGGATTTTAGAAAATATAAATTATTTTTATTTTGGGGTGAATTAATATTTGCATTTATATAAGTGAATTAACAGAAAATATCTCCCAATACCTTTTCCAAAGGCATTAACACGAAGTAAGCGAAACAGAATTGACCAAAAGATATTTCATCGTTAAAATATTTGTGTTCTTTTTAAGCGAGAAGATCAAAGAATTGTTTATATAAAAAATATCCTTTTTAGAACCTTGGAAATTTGGGGGTAAATATCTTGTTTTTCTAGAGTTTTCTTTTTGCGCTGAAAATCACTTTGATTTGGAAATTCTTGTAAAATCAGATAATTGTTAGACTTTAATGAAACTTCAAGGACTTATTCAGAAATTAATTAAATTGTTTTTTTTTATATATATCTGTATCCGCAACTCTTTTAATTTTATTTAATTTAAAGAAATTTATTTTTGTATCGGTTAATGTTTATATTTGTTATAAGTCCTCGAAGAAGTCAAACATCATTTTTTTTTCATAACCTCCTGTCCAGTTACAAAAAAAAAACTGGTCTAAATTGTAAAATAAAAAATATAAAATTAAGACATTATATAATAAAAAAACAACAACTTTTAATTAGTTTTATGAATAAAATATATTATGGTCACCTAAGAAAATCGTTTTCAGGGATTTTTACAACAATTGTTTTCATTTTTTTTAATTTTAATTAGAATAATTTATAACTTTTTAAATCTTTGAAAATTCTTATTAATTTGTAACGGTGAAGTGATATTACTATTGGGTTAAAACTCACTTTATTAATCGTAAATGAGAAAGCTCACTACAATTCAATGACCCCCAATATTTTTAAAAAGAATTTTGAATTTTTGTGTATATAAACAGCTCAACTTTTGTAAATGCTGCTGTGCATATACGACATTATCAGAAAAAAGGAGAGAAGATACCTATTTTAAATTTATTTCTAATTTTATAACATTTTCTCAACAAGCGTCTTCAGAAGTAAGGCTATAAACCAGAGTACCTAAACTTATATAAAATGTTAGATTGCTTAAAATATTTGAAATTTTAAAAAATACTGGATAGTTTAAAAAAAAACTATATAAAAAAGGTGGTTACGTTGTATTCGTCATGTAATTTTTTCAGTTTGTATCCCCCTTAGTAAAATTTACCAAAAATCCAACTGTGAATAAATCACTCAACAAGCGTCAAAAAACCCCCACCCTGTCTTAAAAAGGATATTTTTTCTGCGATATTTTAAAATAAAAGTGGTAATATTTGTTTCAATTCAGTTCACTTTAATTTTAAATCAGCTAATATTCTTCAAGTAACGTTTCAGAAAAAATATTTTTTTACTTTTGAAAGATTTTTTAATAAAGAGAATTATGTTGTGTTGATAGATCTGTCAATATGGATGAATTTATAGATTTTACTGATAAATATAAATATAAAATATAGATTCGAATCAAAATAAATTAAGTTTGAAATACAACAAAATATTTTACTTATTGGGAATATTAAATTTAAGCTATAAGCTTCAAATTAAGACTTTTTTTTTTTTTAAAATGCATTTTAAACTTTAGGTATCGGCTATTTTGGAAGTAGCTATATAAATATATACACAGCTTGACGTTGACATCAGTCTCAGTTTTTATATATATAATGGACTCTCCCGTCGGTTTCGACGTATGAGGATCTGACAGCTTATTGATTCAGTTATATATATATATATATATATATATATATATATATATATATATATATATATATATTTTTGTGTGTGTGCTTAAAAATTTCAGGTAGAGTATATCTGTAAAAGGCCAATATGAATAAAAACACAAGGTAAACTTATCTTAGCCGACGCGTTTTGTCCACTGAAAAAAATCCCTCAGTGAACCGAATATATATTCATATATCCATCCATCCATCCATCCATACATACATACATATGTATGTATTTGCATGTTTATTTTTTATTTTAGTTCGGTCAATTTCCGTAAAAAAAAAGGCCTCTTCAAGTCAATGTGACATAATTCTTCAAATCTACAAATCAAGCATTCACCCTTGCATGCAGCATTGCTACCATATATGGTCTGGAGCCCCTTCTGTTTGTTTCAAAGTCCTTGATAAAATCCAAAGACGGGTATATAATGTAATTGGCCCTGATCTGGCATCTCGTCTGCAGCCACTCTCTCACAGACGTGCCGTTGTCTCCCTCTGTCTTTTTTACAAATACTTTCACGGTAACTGCTCCGATGACCTGCTTTCGCTGGTTCCCAGACTTCATGAATTTAAGCGTTCAACTAGGCTGGCATCCCGCTCTTACCCTTTCACTGTCAAAAATTTTAAATGTAGCCGTCTCTTCTACTCCAATAGCTTCATGTCTCGCACCTCTCGCCTGTGGAGCTCCTTCCCCATTTCTTGTTTTCTTGATGGCTATAATCTCCAACTATTCAAATGTAATGTCAATCGACGTCTCCAGATACCCTGATCTATCCCCTAACATTCTCTTCATCCTTTCCGCTATCACTCCTCTTTGCTCTCGCTTAAAATCTTTGTAACCCCTTGCGTGCTAGTGGCTTCCCGCCTTGCTTGGGGTGGAATGCTTAAATATATATATATATATATATATATATATATATATATATATATATATATATATATATATATATATTGGGCTCCAACAGAAATAGAGCAAATTTTCAGTGCAAAACAATGATCTGATGGTATGGCTGTCTTTATTCAATAGTTAAATATTTGTTGAGCACCTCTTGCTATAAATTACAGTCATCCGTTTTGCTGAAGTGAGTGTGATTGGTAACGTCGAAATGTTTCATGTTACTGGAAATTAACCGAATCAGTCGAATTACCATTTCCTCATCTAGTGCAAAACAAAAGGAAATATGGCCTTTTCTTTCTTTACGGATTTGGAATCTAAAGAAGATTCTAGAATGCATCGACCGAAAAGTGATAGCAACATAAACAGCATAAAGAACGCGCTTAATTTGCTGAGAACTCATAAAATGGTAATATTTTTTTAAAAATATAAACAAAATCTTATGAGCAATAATAGTTAATATATTTTCAAAAGCCTATGATAAATTCAGAACTTGTGAATAATGTGTCCTTTCCGAAATTTGATATTCCAAATCTGCTTTTGAAAGATATCGACTATCAGCTACCAATGTTTCCACTGTGGCATATCCCAGTGTAGTGAATAAGTAAAACGTCATTGTTTTGATTTTCTGACGTATTCTACATAGGCCTGAGGTAAGCCATTATATCACGTCAGATTTTGTTTTATTTATTTTGTCAATATGGCTTCATTTAAAAGCTTATCCATTACGGTCTCCAATTTTTTTTTCTCTCTTTGATGACATCTGCTAAGATCCAGGAAATGCGCCATTCTTCACGCACAACTTCCGAACCAATTCATAATACGAGTTAAAATTCAAAAAGAATACTGTTATTATTTTTATAGATTTATTTGAATAAAGACTTTTGTTTCCCCCTTAGTGTTTTCTCCAATTGAACATGCTTCTCTATATTTTTATACATTTTAGTGTGCATTAACAAAGATAGGTGATATATTTCTTTTTCTTTTGAAAGCAACTCTGGACAGAAACAAACTTGTTGCTTCTACGTCGAAACAAAATGGAAGCTTGTATTTGTTTTTACTTATAAAACCGTTATCTACATTAAGGAATTTCTGGCTTTCTACATTAAGGAATTTCTGGCTTTCTACATTAAGGAATTTCTGGCTTTCTACATTAAGGAATTTTGTGATTTGTTTAAAGAAAGGAATTATCCCAGCCAATTTAGATGAACAAAGTTCCAGTAAAATTACCAACCGTCTATTTCAGAAAACTATTTTTTTTTAAATCTATATTTATCTTATGCATATATATGTTACTATCAAAAGAGATCAACAGGAACACTCATAGATAGATAGATAGATAGATAGATAGATAGATAGATAGATAGATAGATAGATAGATAGATAGTTGGTTTTCCCGTATTCCGTTGATACCTCTCTTCTTTTATGTGACGCGTCTCTCATAGACGATAATAGCTCTCCACAAGTAGAAGAACTTCGTAGCGAGTAGTAAAGTTTGTCTTTTTTGCTATCTCACTTTATCCACGTTCTGTCAACCATTTACACGAGCTCGTTAGGTAAGTTAGCTGCTCTTTTAATTCACTTTTGTCATCAATATGCCCTGTGAGTCTCATATATAAGTTCTAGATCATTCTATTATCTTTCCCAAATAAATCAAGCTTACCTAACACTTTTGTTAGAAATAGCGTCATCGATCAAAATCTTAGGATGTCTTCCTAATGTTGATGGTAGATGAGATCAATACTTCAACCCCTTTCCTCATTATGTGATCTAGATATTTAAATTGCTTTTCTCATTCTACATATAAGTGCCCTTTCTGCTTTCATTTTCCCTAAAATTTCCTCGTTAATCATTGTTCAGTGAATAAGAATCTCAGCATCCTTCTGTAGAAGCATATTTCTATTGCCTTAAGTCTCTACTTCATCTTTGATGTGATTGTCCAGCATTCATATAGGACGGATATTACGTAACTGTTCAGTACTCTTTTCCTTGTTTCTAACGAAACTTTCCTGTTTCTAAATGCTTTGTTTCACTATTGAATGGTATCTTTCGCTATTCCAATGCGCATTCGGATTTCGGTCTTCTATTTTCTGTCTTCCGTTAAAACACTTCCTAGATATTTTAATGTTTGTACTTGCTGTATTTTAATGTCGCCAATTCGTATAGTTCGTATCTTGTGCTATTATTTTTTGCTGACATTCTTTTTTTTTATTATAAGTGATGTTTAGTCATTTTTTTCGCGCTTTTTTATTACCGTTTGTCAGAGTTACTGTAATTTGCCTTTTGTATTTGCTACCATCAACCTGTCATCCGCATGTATCATATTAAAATTATGGCCGCCAATAATGAACCCTAGTAGGACTACTAATTACTCAGAATCACCTCATTGTAAAGGTTAAGTAACTCCCTTGAGAAGACACATCCTTGTCTTTATACCGTTTATATATTTACTGAAATCATTTTCTATTGGTATGCAGCCGGTGTGCTCACAATATAACTTATGGATTATTCTAACATCCTTCACAAATAAATCAAGCTTACCTAGCAGTTCTGTTGGCATTAGCCTTACAGACCAAGTCTGAGAAAGATTCTTAATGTTGTAGATTAACTGATAGATGAAAGGACCAATACTCGAAGGTCGTGTCTTGCCAAAGTCACTTCAGAATAGAATTAGAGAAGGGAATGTTTGATTAATTTTATATTGAAACTCGAGCAGCATGGCGAGTCAACATTGGCTTGATTGTTTTCGTTTTTTTTGGCGGGGGTTTTTGTTGTTGTTTTCAAACAAAAATTACGTAAACTGAAAGATTGATATCATGTGTTGTGCTGTCAGCAATTAAATGCGAATTACGTTCTTTTTCTTTTATTAAAGAGTCCTTTCATCTGTTCGTTAAGATCTCATCTTTTCCGATCGCCCGAAGGGAGTTCAACAGGAAAGGATTTTAGTAGACGATAATCTTCCCCCCACAGCAAGTAACCTGTCCAGCTTAAAGCATGGGATTTATACTTCCAAATTACGCTTGAAACTTTTGCAATTTTATATCCGAGTTGACCTACAGCGATGGACGATTATCTTTTAAATAGTTTAGAATATACAAAATAATTTGAAATTTTATCATGTGCGCACACACGCACGTACACGCGTGCGTGTTTGTACGTTTGTGATTAAAATTTTAAATTGATTATTTTATATATTTCAAACTATTTAAATGATAGAATTTTCTGCATATTTACAATCCATAAGGAAAGAGAAAATCACCTTCTTTGTTTTGAACTAAATAATGAAATAATATTCCAATTGTAAATAATATGTGGACTGGTTTGGTTTATTTCTAACAACCTGAGTTACTTTTCTATTACAAATCATTGTCACCTAAGCAAGATGGTTGATTGTCATTTTTTACTCAACAAATCTCTTCTTGTTGCGTATGTTCGAGAGTTCTTATCGAATTTTGAAAAGTGATTAGTTATTATTACTGATATGATCTTATCTATATTTTCTTTTTTTTTAATGTGAGTGTTGCGAGCGGGAATATATATATAGCAAAATATGGCTCACTTGAATGTGTAGAAAATATTGAGCAAATCACGACTATAGCAAATATTTTGTGTACTCACATCTTTTTAAGCAATTCGCCACAAGCAAGGCAGTAGTGTCACTAACACGTAAGGGGTTACATATAGAGAGAGTAAGAGTAAACAGGTGTGTTTGGGAAACGGATAAAGAGAAGAACAGGAATCAAGGTTAAGGCATCAGAAGATATTTGTCTATATTTCTGAGATGAGGTATTATGCACACTATTTACATTATTCGGACTATTGTCCTCATCTTTTTCGCCATATTTATTACAACGTTTCGGCCCTTCAGTACCTGTCTATATTTCTGAGATGAGGTATTATGTACACTATTTACATTATTCGGACCTATTGTCCTCATCTTTTTCGCCATATTTATTATAACGTTTCGGCCTCCTTCAGGTGGTTGGAATATCGAACTGAACCCTTTATTTCGTTCACTGGGGCAGACTCTTCTAGTTCCACGTACCATGGATGTTAGTTATCAGTTATCTCCTGTTAATTCCCCTCTACAAGTTATCCACTGCCTTAATCGGGTATTAAACTCACATTCTTTGGCTCCTGTAACTGGATCTAACCAACGCGTTTATCCACTGTGCCATGTGTCCGTTGTAATAAATATGGCGACAAAGATGAGGACAATAGTCCGATTAATGTAAATAGTGTGCATCAGAAGATGTCGACTGATATTACATTTGAATATTGGAAGATTATAGCTATCAGGGAAGCAAGTGATAGGGAGTTCCACTGAAGGGAGGTGCGAGATAAGAAGCTGTTAGAGTAGAAGAGGTGGTTAGCCGTTTCGACAGTGAAAGCGTGGGACCGAGATGCCAACCTATTAGAGCGCTTAAATTCATGCAATTTGGGAACCAGTGAAAGTAGCTTGTCGGAGCAGTTACCATGAAAATACTTGCAGAAAAGGCAGAGGGAAGCCACAGCACGTCTGTGAGATAGCGACTGCTGACAGGATGCCTGATCAGGAGCAACCATGTTGTATATCCGTCTCTGGATTTTGTCGAGGACATCGAGATGAACAGCGGGATCACCAGACTATATATTGCAGCAGTATTCCATGCAAGGACGAATGGTTGATTTGTAGATTTGTAGGATGGACTCCGGCGAGAAGAACCTTCTGGCGCGACACAGAGAACCAATTTTCCTTGCGATAGAGGAAGCTATAGGTTTAATGTAGTTGTTCCACGTCAGGTCAGTGGTCAGCATGAGACCAAGCAGGCGCAGAGAGGCGCTCTCATGGAGTTGGGCATCAGCCATCCTGATGGGAGACAGCCAGGGTTCTCTTTGGTGGGTAACTGAGAGCAGTTTCGTCTTAGACGCATTAAAGTTTACAAGCCATTTGCTGTCCCAATCAACCACAGATTGGAGGTCCTTCTTTAAAAACGAAGTCTCCTATAGATTATTTGACTGGCATGGTAACATAATGGATGATTTTGATTGGCTCTTTATAACGTGATGAACAATTTTGATTGGTTCTGTAAGCTTCAAATTTTACTTCAGAATTTTTAAAATGGGAACAAAAGTTCATAACTTTAACGAAATTATTCAAGGAGTGTCTATTTTTTTCTTTTTATTTCAACTGCAGATGTTTTCATAAACTTTAAACTATGAATGTAAATGATTTTTTTATTTATTTTCAAACGTTCTTATATCTTCTTTCTATATTTTATTTTTACATAACAAGAACGAAAGAAAATCTTGTAAAGACACGTGATTAAAATGTATTTTGTAAACTGCTTCTGAACAAAGCATATCTAAATCGGACAAAATCCCAATACACACCAAAGAAAAATACTGTTATATTTTTCGACATATCTAGAAATAAAATGGTTGTACTTAATATATTCTACGCTATCTTTTCAAATATATATATTCTTCCGTCTTGTGTTCGAAAATATAAATCCCTGTATTTATATTTTATTAACCAAGTCATTGCACAGAGAATCGATTCTTAAATCCAGTGTCTTGAAATTCAGGATTTACAGAAAGTAATTCTGATCTAAAAAAAAATAGCATTTAGTCAAGTTTTATTTACTGTGCATGCATATACAAAATCACATTCAGAGGAAGAGTATGAGAGAGAAAATATATTTAATCGCTAAAGATTTACATTGAAGGGGGTCGGTCTCTGAGAGTAAACAATAAAATTAGACATAGCATATTTCGAAAATAGGAAAGTATACTGTCCCTTTTGAAATGAGGCCAAGATAATAGATACATAAAGATTCATAAGGTGAAAGAAACGAAACGTTTGTCAAACAATGGATGCATGAACAAACCGAGTAGAGTTTTTAACCCTATATGGAAACCAGTATCCAGAAGAAATAATTTTATTAGTTAAGGAGTTAGCACTCGAAACTATTTGAAGGCTTTCAGATACAGCATCATGAACCCATTAATATTTATCACCAAAGAGTCAACCAAAGAAAAGAATCCTTGATAAGTATAGCAAAAACTTCTCCAGTATCACCTGACCTTATGTCAAAACTACTTAGCTGAAACCTCAATGTTCAATTGTTTCTATTAGGATATTCTACGTTACAAAATTCCAATATCGTCCATTCCCGTGTTAAAGCTTTTAACACGAAATATAATACGCTGTGGTATATAGATGTTCTCGTTAAAAAATAAAAAGAAACAAAGCGAAAAACAATGAAGGACCTAAGCAAACTTTTAAACGATTGATAAGTCTGAAGTATATAATGATCAAAAACATTTCTTAAGAACAATGTAGACAATGCTTTATTCCAGCATTTGTTGAATACAGCAAACCGAGGCAAATGCTTCAATATCTCCCCCCCCATTCACTCGATGTGAGGATGGCCTTTTTGTTGAATACAGCAAACCGAGGC